CCCCCGCCATAAATTATATCCTAGAGCCGCCACGGACTCGTGGGTACCAAAGGTAAACTTAGCAAAGGGTTACCGGCTTAACACCCAGCCTCTTGAAATTCCCGGTAACATCATGCGGAAAATCGTGGCACTGTGACACAGGATAGTCCAGGGAATTTAACTACCAGTTCCACCCCGGTTATTTCCCACACTTGTGCTACAAAGTCCTCGCAAGTATACCCTATATGCTGCAACTCCCCCACCCTATATGGTGGGTGGGTGGAGGAGACACAAAATGAAGTTCACGCCACCACGCCCACTTCAGCCCCACCATGGTTGGTGTAAATAAGTGGTAAATAATCGAGCTCTCCTTTCACCACTGAAAGCCTAGCCTCCCACCACCCCGGTCGAGAAAAAAATTAGATCTTTTGGGGATTTTTTTTTTTTATATATTGAAAGATAATAAAATGTTGTGTTAATTATTTGATTATTTATTTAAAAAGGATAATTACAGCGCCCAAGATTTGATTTTTGCTGGAAATTCCCCAACAGGGGTCTAAGTGGGAGTCCAGAAGTCCCCGACGGGGGTCCCTTTCCACCACCCCCGCTAGCACCTCCCCTGGCACAGCGCCGCCCCTGACACTTGCGCTACCAAGTCCTCGAAAATATACTCAGTAAATGCGGCATCTCCTTGTATAGAAATAGTTAAGAGTGAGCCCCACCCCCACCCCCCCGGCGGAATATCAACCAAGAGTCGCCCTAAATTTTACAAAACGAAATATAAATAAGAAATAAAAGAAGTTACATTCAATCGAGTCTAAAGGTGACATTTTCGGCCATTTAGAAGTGCCATGGACATAAAAGAAATTCTTACCTCAGCCCTGCTCAGCCCAAACCATGATGGGGCTGCGCATGGAGGGAAGAAGGTTCTATCTTCCATGTCCCCAGGGGTCCGCGAATGCAAAAAGATTGGGAACAACTGCTGTAGATGATGGCCGGAAATGGCACTCTCAGACTTAATTTGGATACGCAATACCGTACTTTGTTTCTATTTTTTTTTAAAATAATTTTGAATATTTCTTGGTGTGGAGGGGGGGGGGGGAGGCAGTTGCATTCTCCATGCGACAGCTCTAAAATTGCATTTGTTCTAAAATAAAGAGTAGTTGACCATCTTATGAATTACTATTAATAATAATAATAATATTATTAAGCGCCGGTGTACGGTATCCGTTTCAAAGGCTCATTGCGCGCCTCCACAAGAAAGTCGAAATAATATGAAGAAAGGAAATTAAGAAAAAAAACCAGATACAGTTTTAAAAGCAGAACAAACACAGGCGATCATCCCAAACCATCTTTCCACCAGGGATTTTATTCCGGGACCCTGATTGAGGCTCTAGACATCCCCTTCTTTTGGACCCCGGTTAGATCCTAATTCGCATATAAAAGTTTCTCGATATATACCGACGCTGGTGGCGCTCTCCAAAATTAGCTAATACTAGGATATAATTAGAGGCTTTGGCAAGTCTATATTAATTCCTATCGAAATAGTACACTTTCATACATTTTATTTACCCACATGACAATCGAATGCTAACCTAACTTGTTCACGCTATTTCAATCTACTAGTCCGACCCAATACCATGTATTTATTAAACCTAATTCATTTCGTGGTATGGATACTGTACGGTAGTGTAATAATTAATATACCGTACTCGCGCGAATAAGCGCCCCGTTTGAATAAGTGCCCTCCTCAATAACATCATAAGATTTTCTTTTTAGGAACTCAATAATCCAATCAATCCTGGGACTGTGGTGGTTGGCATGATTGCAGCTGCAGAGTGGCAACACATTCTTCTTAGGTCAATATCAAAATGAGGATATTTCTCTTGGACAGATGAGAGCTCCGATCCCTGGACAGACAGTATTATTTCCAACTTTACTCTTTTTACATATTTGTCTATGCCTAGTCCTACTGCTTTTTTTCTTTTTCCGACCTTTAGTACATTCTCATCAGAGTTTTCAAGAAAAAATACAATGATAATGCCATCCTGCTAATCTCAATCGGCCGATGGCCAACAAACTAACCATACCCACCACCACTAATTGCATCTATTTTGCTGTTATGTACGTAAATATTCACAGCATTCTTGTCATGAGCCATGTTTTCTGGAAAATTATCTTTTCCGCCTAACCACCATTCGTAAGGTCCTTAAATAATCTTTTTTCATTCAAAAAGTGCCTCTTGAATTTAATAATTTCCCATAAGAACCCCTTTTCATCTATTTCCATAAGCGCCCAATCAATTTCCACTCTGTTTTCATAAGCGCCCCGTTCGAATAAGCGCCCCTCAGAAAGCGCATAAAATATTTTAAGCGCCCGGGCGCTTATTCGCTTGAGTACGGTATGCAATATTTTGTAATGGTGATATAACAAGAAGTGTGAAATACTATTCTGTTGTATCAGCAACATTGTCCATACAGTGCGATAACTGTATACGATGTTCAGTTTGGGGCACTCATTCATATATTATGTTGTTGGTACTTTGTTATAATTATTTTTCTGTTCCTAAATATTTTCTCAATATTTTTCTCTTCCAGGAAATGGATGTCAAATGTCAGGAAAGGATGTCCACTCTCGATCGTGGAAGGGTAACAGAACTTTCCAAATTATATAGACAAAATGTTATCACTCATCAAGTTTCCTGCAAAAATTCTGGATATGAAATTAATAAAAATGTAATGCGAATTTTTATTTTTAAAATATTTTCTTCTGAATAATTCTAAAAAATCTACCACCCCTGATATAAAAAAATATGAGAAAAAGTGGTCCGTCAAAACCGGTGCGGTGGTTCCGACGGCCGTGTGCACCAAGTTTTGACATAATTGCCAGCAGAACTTTCAATACACTGCCTCAGTTTATATTATTTCAGTGGGCCTCAGATAAATTTTCTTGCTAATGAACAGGCGACTACATAATACCATCCTTGTATTCCTGTGCATAAAAATCAGTATTTACACGCTTTATCTGCTTAAAATACCACGTAACAATCAAAACACAGGTAAACACAGTTCAATTAACATGTTTATTTCTTTCATTGTATAGAAGTTAACAAAGTAAAATGTTATTCATAAAGAAAATCAGAAGCATGTCACCTTAATTCACTACATAATACCATCCTTGTATGCCTGTGCATAAAAATCAGTATTTACACACTTTATCTGCTTAAAATACCACGTAACAATCACAACACAGATAAACACAATTCAACTAACATGTTTATTTCTTTCATTGTATAGAAGTTAACAAAGTAAAATGTTATTCATTAAAGAATAATACATAATATAATAAATCAGCAGTATAAGTGTTTCAGAAAATTGTCACCTTAAGAGCTTTAACTGGCTATAAAAGCAAAGAACTTATGGGCCCCCAGGATCAGCAGGTTTTTTTGCCAGGACCAAATCAGCCGAGCTGGGCCCATAGTGAGCAGATAGTGTAGTGGACATCAAAATATGTCCTAAACTTCACTGGGGTCCTAAGCTACCCCAGGGTCCCATGGTGGAAGGGCCCTAAGATGCCTTAGCCAGGGCCTCAGGCTTCCTTGTATTACACCTGTTGTTATGGCTATAAATAACATTTGTGATGGGCGAGCCAAGAAATATACAAGAGAATCAACTATATTAAAAATAATTAAATGGTTTCTTTTCTTTTTTTTATATTCTCTACCAATCATTTATTCTTTTATGTGAGTAGCCCCACCTTTATTCCTAATTCAAAATCTTATTTTTCATCATGTTTCTCTTTCATTTTCACATCGTAAATAATCATTTCAGTTCATATAAATCTCAGGTTTTTTTTCTCATTTTTACTTTTGATTCAAAATACTGACTGTATAC